GAAAATGTCATTTGTTTGACATGATAAATCTCAAACTCGAGAATTAAATGATTAATAGTGAAATTAAGAAAACTACTTGGCAATTTATGGAATTGATTGTCCATGGAAAATCTTTAGAAAATGTTATTGCAAAAACTTTTTAAATAGAGATGGATTGATACAATGGAAATTGATGTACAGAAGCGATGGTGGACCCAAATATGCCAGCCGCAGTTAAACAAATCTCTGTGTATTGAATAGAAAGGTCGACACTTCCACTTGCATGATTACTTCCTCATTGCAAGAGAACTATAATGTTCACCTGTACTATATGGGAATTTCTTGTAGGAGAACCGTGGTACCGAATTATGTTAGATAACGAGTGAGAATGGGATCTTAGCGCTAGAAGAAATTACAAGGAAAGAAGAGGAAGATTGGATCAGGTTGTAATTGCAAAATTCCTACTGGTTAAATCCAAGCTGAAGAGCTTGTTAGCATGCTACTGTCCATATCCATAAGGTGGTAGTGGTAGTTTTACCAGACAGGTATGCGACAATCCAGGATTACTTTCAAACATAACCAGCCCAGTTAAGAACGCTACTAGAAGGTTTGATTTAGCCCATTTATCAAAGGAGGCTTTAATGGAAGGTACTATTGATCTTCTGAGGTTGGTCTTAGCCCACGACCAAAAATCCCAAGAATGAAACTCTGAAGGATTTTATTGATCTTTTAGAAGTGGATAACTTCAAAAATTGATAAAATCTAGAGGATGGAAATTTGGACAACCGAAAATGTCCAACACTAAATGCCTGACGTGTATCAAACAAGCGAAAGATAATGTGTGGACATCCAGAATTTTGCTACAAAATTCAACGATCCGATTAAAAGAAAGCTTGGATGTTGTGTATTGCGTTTGTATATTTTATTTTTTAATGTAAAACGTGTAATGTAATAATTATATCTTTGTAAGACACGTGGGAGACATGTGGAACCCAGTGTCATTATCTTGAGTAGGTGCTATTTTCTTATTGTTTAGTCTTTGTTAATAGTTACACCTTTAGTTGGTGATTGATTAGACCTTTTGTTTTTGTTTTGGTTTACGGACTAATTGATTTGAAATCCAGACTTCTCTATATAAGAGAAGTTATGTACCTTTTATTTGAAGAAAAATCAATAATATTTTCAATTTGTGAAAAAAATCTTCTCTCAACTCTTGTTTTACTTTTGAATTGCATACTCGAAGCAAAGAGAAAGGTTCATTCAAGAAGATCATTCAAAAGATTGATACCCAGGTATGAATTAATCTTTAAAACTGAATCTTGTGTTTTTCTTTTCCATTAATCAACTAGGTGTTTAGTTATTAATTGTCTAATAGTTGTTAGACTGGTTATATTTTAATTCATTAGAAATCACTATGGGTTCCACATCATATTCACCGCATTCATTAGCCATTGACAATTTTGTTACACATCATTATTTTCTCCAACTTGTGTAGTTCAATCACATGATGTAAACTTGACTAAATGAAATTGAGAGTGAACGACTTTTTCCCACCCAGTTTTGCCTATATGACACTTTCTCACCAAAAAAGTTCTAAATACCACTTTCCCACCCAAAGTTTATCCGTTAATACCCAAAATACACTTTACTTTCTCAGCCGACGTTCAATGAGTTATTAGGAACCGAGGTAAGAGGTTTGTAGAGTGGAGGCTGCTAGATCGAATGATGGTGATCGATTCAATATTTTGCCGCTGGAATCAACCGAAAATCGGTTAAGAATAAAACCTTAGCTTTGTGGTAACCGGCAATCGGTGAGAAATCAAGTGTCGGAGTGAAAGGGGTTTTGTAAAGAGGAACCGGAGGTTTATGGTCGTGATGGATAGAATTTTTGCTGCGAAATAGGCTAGAATTGCTTTGGGTAGTAGAAATATAACCTTGAATAGAAAAGTGATTTTGAAACTTTTTGGGAAGGAAAAGTCATTTACTCTAAATGATGCTAACTTTGTTCGTTTAGCTAAATTTGGCCTATACAGAGAGTCTATACTTGGGCTTGTCCCATTTTCTTACGAGATCTCAGTTTGGTTGGGCTCCGTAATTGTAAGTTTTCGGGTTAGTTTGAGATTGTTGCAACTTTAGTTAATAGTTTTGAAAATTTGAATGTATTTGGTAATACACTTTATAATTTATTGTGATTTCAAAATCTTGATTGTGAATTTGGTAAATTAGATTTGAATTCTTGTTAAACCTGCCCGTGGAGCATACATGTGTTAAGGTCAACGAATCAAACCGTGGTGTTGACGTCCATTGTTGTCGCTACCATTTTCAATCATTTAAAAAAATATTTAAAGTAAATAAAACTATAATACAAGGTATATATGTAATTTACTACAAAGCCCATTTGTAAATATTCCGATGTTTGAAATCATTTATAAATGTGTTATTTTAATTCAATTAATTAGTTTTAAAAATTGTTTATTAAACACTTTTATGTGTAGTTTAAACTTAATTGATTATTTTTAAGCTACAACAATCCCAAACACTAGGGGTGTTCAAAAAATGCAAAAATCGAACCGAACTGAAAAACTGGTTAACCGAAAAAACGGTTTGGTTACCGGTTCGGGAAAAATAAAAAGGTTAACCGAACCGGTTTTACAAATGTATATATTAATAAAAAATAATAATCTAACAACTAATCCCTAAATTCACTCAACCTAAAATCCCAACCCAAATTCCTGATATCCCTTCTCACTCTCAATTCTCAAAACTCTCCACCGTCATCGCATCACGGCAGCTTCGCATCTCTTCCGGCTCGCACTTCCGTCGTCTTCTTCCAGCTCCAGCAGCTTTGTCGTCTTCTTCTAACTCCGCAGCTTCGTCATCTTCTTCTAGTAGATTCGTCGTCTTCTTCCACTCTACCAGTTTCATCTTTTCTTCCGGCAGCTAAGCTTGTCTTCTTCTTCTAGCAGCAGAACAAGCTCATTCTCTTCTCTGTAGTTTTCCGGCAGCAGGAAAAGCTCCTTGATCTTCTTCAGCTTCATCTTCTTTGATTTCTCTCTAGATTCGTCACACTTAATCACTCATAGAGACACACACAAATATCAGGTATCAGAGCAACTCTATCTCAACTTCACTCTTCAGTGGTTGATGATATGAATGTGTGTAAAGATCTCATCTTTATGTATTAACTTCAGTTCATTTTATTGTTTTTTCATAATTATTCCAAAAAAAATCAGAAACTTATAATGTTTGCTTCAACTAAGTTAATTTGTAAGGTGTTTTGTAGATTCGGTATCCGTAGAATGTGACTTTTTCTTACATTTGACGTTGCCTCTTTTATGCTTTGTTTCTTGCAATCTTAGATCTAGTGTAGGCTTGTTCTTTGAATTGCTAATCTAGTTAAGTTCACTTGTGTTGCTGTTTATTTCTACCAGCTGATTTGATGTGGGTTGATTGTGTTTTATTTAGTTTCGGATGTTTGCTTCTTGAACAATGCGGGCGTTTTATTTAGTTTCGATGCTTACTTTTTATATTCTTTAATTTTCTGCCCAAAGATTATGATGATTTATTCAGGACCTTGGTTTTTGGTTTTGGGAAAACTCAAATTCATTTTTTTAGTTGAAGGCAGTGGTCTTTGATCTACATATGATAATAGTTACATTTTTTTTAAGATAGAGATAAGAGGTTGTAAGATACTTGATTGGTTGTTTATTTTTGTATAATATTATTATTTAGTCTTTAGTTTTTAATCATTTTCACATATTTCTTCTTGTTGATGTTGCAGATGTCCAAATCCAATCCCATGGTCGTTGACCATTTTAATACTAATAAGAGTCCTGAGACACTAACTAGTAAGAATCCAACTCCAAATTCATTAGTAGCCCCACAACCTTCTACGGATCCTGATCCACAACCACGACCACCACGAGTCCCCAAACGTGTAAGTTCTAATACTCAAAAGAATACTTTTGACATGTGGGATCACTTTATTTTAAATCCTTGTGAGAATATAGATGATAGGACATCAACATGTGATCATTGTGGGAATGTGCTTGCATGTCTAAGTAAAAGTGATACTAGTTGTCTACGGAATCACTTAAGTCGATGTAAAAAGTACCATTTGAATGTGATGGATACAAAACAAAGGATCTTAGTTTTTCAATAGACACATTCACATGACCAATCAAGCGGTACTGCTGCCGCCTCCACACAATCTTCACTTACAACTTGAAAATTCAATCCATATAGGCTTAGACGGTCTCTAGCTAGAATGATCATTGTTGATGAGTTGCCCTTTAGGCATGTAGAGCATGAGGGGCGATATGATGAAGGATGCACAACCTCTATTTCAAGTTCCCTCTCGTATTACTGTGGCTAGAGATTGTTTTAATATTTATGTTGAGAAGAGAAATAAGTTGAATGCCTTTTTTAGTAAGTTTAGTCAGAGAGTAAGTCTTACCACGGATACATGGACATCTTGCCAAAACCTTAACTATATGTGTTTGACGGCTCACTTCATTGATGATGATTGGAAATTTCACAAAAAGATCTTAAACTTTTGTCCAATTGCTAGTCACAATGGTTTATTGATTAGTAAGGCAATTGAGAGGTGTTTGTTTGATTGGTGTATTTCTAAGGTTTTCACTGTTACTGTTGATAATGCATGTTCTAATGATGTTGGAATGAAATATCTCTAGAATTGGTTAGAAAGTTAGAAGGGTAGTGTTTTGAATGGTGACTTTCTGCACATGAGGTGTTGTGCACATATATTGAGTCTCACTGTAAAAGAGGGGTTAAAAGACATGGAGGACTCTATTTTTAGAATTTGCTCTGTAATGAGATATGTGAGGTCTTCTCCAGCAAGATTACAAAGGTTTAAGGAGTGTGTAGAGCAAGAAAAGATTGAACAAAAAAATCTTTTGGTTCTTGATGTAGAAACATGGTGGAACTCTACGTAATTAATGTTAGATGTGGCTTTAAAATTTCAGAAAGCATTTGAGTTGTTGGAAATCTAAGACNCTGATGTGTTTGTGGCTTGATATCATTGTGATCATCCGAAGAGGCTGATGTGTTTGCTTCTGAAGGTTCAACCTCTTCAGCCGGTAGAGTTAAGCATGCCTCTTCAGGTTCTGAGTCAGTGTGATCTTCTGAAATGTCATCAATCTCTTGGTGCACTTGTTCTTCAAATCTTGGGCTATTATCAACATTCTCATCGGTTTCTATCTCGGAATCACCCTCTTCGGATGGTTTGGTTCCCACATCTCTCTCCCATATTGGTGTCAAGAAATTCTGTTCATACTTAAGTTCCACATCAGCCTCCCTGTGATACTCTTCAAACAAATCAGTCAGATTGCTATATTGCGAAGGACCCAGTTTTGGCACTTCCCTTAAATCGGATATCAGCTTGCAAAGGTAGGAGAAAGAGTTAGCTGCCCACAACTGAGATCTTTGAGCCAGCCTCTCAAAGCTCACTTTTGCAAATTCAGTGATTTCAGGTGAGACATAGAGGTTAGAGAAGTCTAAATCAGTAACTGGGGACTTAATGACTGAAATTGACAAACCAGCAACGACCATGACCACAAGGAAAGCAAAGAACTTTGATCTTGTAAAGAATTTTGACTTACACACCCTTTTAGCTTGAACACTCTCCTCAAACTTGTTGATACTAAAGGGGTTTGGCTCAGATACACTGAACTCTGTCTCTTCCTCTTCTATTGCTGCTTCAGCTTCTTCTTTCCCTGTTTCATCCGAAGAAACATCCTCGGATTCTTTCTGGGAATCATCAGACAGAATTCCACTAACTTCACCATCAGATTCTGATAAAAAACTCTCTTCGAGACGCTTACCATCTCTTTTCTTTATACGAATAAGCTCGATTAGCGGATTTGGCTGGTAATGAAGAAACTGAGGCCTTGGTGACAGATAATTTGTTTTAGGATCATAAGGTGGCATGGAAGGATCTGCATCAAGTGGTGCCAACATAGGCGTTGAAATTGAACAAGAGGTTCTAGGACTAATCTTGAAAGTTGGATCAAGATTAACACTATCATCCACCTGGTTAACATTCTCTGCTAATGAGGTTACATCGTTCTTCTCCCATTCTAAAGTTACGTCAGCGAGGTCAGTGATTGTTGAATCAAGATTAACACAATCATCCACCTGGTTAACATTCTCTGCTAATGAGGTTAAATCGTTCTTCTCCCATTCTAAAGTTACGTCAGCGAGGTCAGTGATTGTTGAATCATGTGAAGCCTCAATCTTGTTTTGATTCAAGCCCATCTCTGGTTTCAAAAAATCATCATCTTCCGTAATCAGGCTTTTGACATCAGAAAATGAAACAGTCTTCTTCTTACTCGAACTTTTCTCTGGCTTCGGCTCATTGTCTTCCATCACTTGGCTTCTTGCATCAGAGAATGAAGCTGAAGATCGAACTGGCTCATTTCTCTCAGCCAATATTTTCTTTCTTGGTGATGCAGAGAACTTTGAAGCTGCAGAGATGGTTGGCGACATGAAATTCTTTGTACCCTTTGAGACAGAAGCCGGAGATCGGACTTTTGCTGTGTTTAAATTTGCATCTTTGCCGTTTTCTTTGTCAGTGAAATCGCGCAAAGAACTTACACTTTCTCTGCCAATGGAGCTTCTTCTAAGAAAATCTGCAGCTCAACAAACACAAGAAAGAGTACAAATGAGAACACTAAACCAATTGTCCATTGGTCCCAATAATGCTTAGGGAAAACTTAATTTGAAGAAACTGCGTGAAAGATATAGAAATTTGTGATATTTGATTTATAAAAGGGACCTGTTTGTTTCAACGGAAAATATTTCCAGGAAAATTTGAGTTACCACACAAGAATTTCAAGTGCAAGAGAATTAAAGAAATATATTGTTTCTTCAATCTCAGACCTCATTAGAGATGAATGATCAATTCCCACCACTTCTCAATTAAGTATATATCATCATAAATAATTTTCCTAGAAAAAACTCCAATAAACCATTTTCTATCTAAACAAACAGAAACATACCCGCAAAAAATCCAACTTGAAAAGAAAAACAGGTTTAATCATTTAAGTTAATTTCCTGTAGTACCCAGAAACAAAACATTCATTTACATTTCTTTTCATTTTCTTTTCTTTTCATTTCATTTTCTTGGCATCCAAACATATGATTATCACAAAAACAAAAGAATTTCAAGAGTGTAAGATAATTAAAGAAAAATATTGTTTTCCTAGAAAATTCTCCGGTAAACCATTTTCCATCAACAGATTCAACTTAAAAAGAAAAACAGTTTTTAATCATGTAAGTTAATTTCCTGAAGTACCCAGAAACAAAACATTCATTTACATTTCTTTTCATTTCATTTCATTTTCTTGGCATCCAAACATATGATTATCACATAAAACAAACAAGAAAGAATACAAAAAGACAACGGGAAATTAAAGTAAAACTGACCTGAAGGACTGTTGGCAGGAGTGTTGGGGTTAAAGCCACCTCTAGAATTAGGCACAATTGAGGAGGGTTTGTTAAACGGATTACCAGTGAAACTCCTTCTCATGGGATCTTTAGTTTCAGAGTTTCTTGCACTAGGGTTTGGTCTAGTTGACGGTAGTGGTGAAGAAGAAGAGGGCTTGTTTGTAATTGTAGCCATTGTTAAAATTGAATCGATTTGTCAGATTGTGGAATTGATGGGATGGCGGTGTTTCTGAAATATGGAAAGAAAATGAAAGCTTTTGAGCATAAATGGTTCGGCTTTGAATGTGAAGGATCTTGAAAGATTTGGCGAGAAGAAAGAAGTGGTGTAGTAACGGCTAGTTTTTGAAATGGGGAGATATAAATGGTGGAAAATTTTGACCGTTGGGATAAAATAATTGAATAGTCAAAAAGTTTGGAGCCGTTGGATTATGTACTCGTTTGGAAGGTGGGGATTGAATTTGCAAAACCTAGCCGTTGAGGATCTTTTACTTGATTCTGGGGTTTAATTATATTAATCCCCTAGGTTTGACAAAATAACAAGAATTCCCTGAGGTATAATATAATAACACAATTCCCCATTTAGGTTGTAATTGTTAAAATAAACAATAAGTGGGTAATTTGGTAATATTTATTAACTCATAATAAAATAAATTTTAACGGCTTACTAATAATTTATTAACTACAAGATGATTTTTATTATTTTATAAACTTAGATAGATTTTTGTTATTATATCATGTTTTAGATTAATTAATATCATTAATTTTAAATTTTATAAGATGAAAAAGTAGAAAGAGGTTTTCCTTTATACGAACAAATCCAAATTTTTAAGAAAAACGTCAGCTGATATAGTCACTAGCCAGTACTTAAATAACATATTTGATGAAGGTTGAACCATACTAATTAATGGAAACCTTGATTATACTAAACTAAATATATTACTATTCCAATCATGATAATTGATTTTAATTGTAAATAAAATTAAACTACCAAACTTAGTTTTATTTTTAAATTAAAATAAAATTTGTTAGCTGTGGGTATAACAAATATTATGTGAATAAGACTTGTTTTCATTTGGATCATAAACTCGAGAGAAAACCGGAGATCAGTTTGTTAAATATTGTCATAGATAAGTTAGAGCTTTTGACGCAGAAGCTTGATAACTTAGACAAAAGAGTGAATTATACGGTGTATCGTATATTTACTCAAGAATTGACTCAGATAGGAAAACAGATTGAAAAGGTCAATTCTGCACTTCAAAAGGTCAAGACACTGGAACACATTCTAACTATTTTACTAAGCCAGTAAAATAGGAGATGTCCTTGGTTTTAAGTGACATTGAACAAGTGTGGCCTATTGAAGGGTATACGGAACAAGAGGTAAAACGGGTCGTGTTAGACCTCTATAACGGAAACCCAAATATTCGAGAAGAGTATCTGACTTGGCTAGGAGTAAAGTGACTTTTGGATGTTATCCAAAAGGCCTTTAGTCAAGGGTGCACAAAGATTATGCTTTATCTGCCGAATTTCAACCATTGAAGTTGCCAAGTTGGAACTTCAGAATAAGTGGTTGGAAAAGGCTGAGGCGGTAATTCCTTATTGGTACAACGAATCCCATCCGGATCCAGATCCTGAACCATATAAAGAGTCCGACTTTGCAGCTAGCTTAAGGATTGATTCAGATTGACCATGGGTGGTCAAGACATTTTGGATCAGTTTACGGCAAGTCTACAGGAAAAATATCTTGGATTACCTCTAGGGTATGCATAGTTCGTGGCCAAAGAAACCCAAGGTGATTGGGAAAAGGCAAACAAGCTCTTTACGAAATGAGTAAAGGAAGAAGACTTTGTTTCTAAAACGGATGGCAAACAGAAGGTTGATATTCCAGAAATTTCTACCTCTAATGCTGAAAGAATTAGCAGGTATTATGAGGAAGAAATGAAGAAACAAAGGAAAGGGGAAGAAACTAGAGGTTTGAAAATTACTCCAGGACCTAAAAAGGCGGAGCTCGATGAGCTAATTTCTAGACTCAGGGAATCTGAGTTTAAATATGACCCGCGTGAAGGAATTCGTAACCCTTTAAATTCTTTTGAAGGATTCCTTAAGGAAATCTCCAAACCCGAATATAAACAAACTTATCCCACAAAGATAAGGTTGGAGTTTATACCTAGGGGAATATCTAGAATGGTGGAGATACCGTCTAGTGGTAGTTTCTTGAACATCGATTGCGTCACAAATGTTACTGATGCAATTGAAGCATGGGAAACTGTTAATTGGGTTCATGTGCAAAATAAGGCTTTTGGACTTAGTGATACTTATATATTTCTAAGATCCACTCTATAGGGAGCTGTAGGAAGCTTCTAGAGAAGTTTAGAAGCTGGTACGGGTCTGTTAGATACTGTAAGGGACTTGAAGAATGTAGAGGCTATTTTTGCACTCTTCAAGGATATGCTCTGTCGAGAATTTACTAGGATAACCATAACTAGTAGGAATCTCACAGAGGTAGTTTCCATAGAAGCTTTGACAGAGCTTAGGCTTTGTGACATGTGTCTGTTTGAAAATTTTGTCTACGAATATAGACGATATTTCTATCAGTTGCCTGGTGGCACACAGGAAGTCATGAAGGATAAGGCAGCAAATGAGGCGTTTAAGCTTCTAGTCGAAAAGAATTAGGTTGTTGATTCTTTGGGAGGAAGAATAGAAGCTGTTTGACAACTCGTGAGAACAAGATGTTTGAACGCCAAATTGGATAAAAAGGCCAAAAGACTTGAGTTCAATAAATTTTGTTGTCAAAACTTTGATGGAGTGCCAAGACAATATGGCTGTGAGTCGAGAAATTCGACTAAACATCAAAGTTGGGAAAACCATATGAAATAGAAATGATCATTTGGTAAAAAGAATTTTAAGTCGAAACATTTCCGTAATATGGTAAAAAGACCTGTTACCAATAAATGGAATCTTCCAGATCATGGAAGGTTTATTAGGCGAACAGGGAAGGGTAGACTTAATGCTAAGGAACACAGAGTGTGTAAGTATTGTGCTACCTGCCCATCTGGCAAAAACGCAAAAGATTGTAATTGTTGCTGGATTTATGGTGACAAAAATCATTTTGTGGATAAATGCCCTCATAAGGGAAAGAAGAAGGCAACGATAAGATTTTTGGAATTCAAAGCTGAAAGCCAAACTTCTGAATTTGAGCCAGTGTGGGGATACAAACTTGATTCAGATGACGAGGTTTATGAATTAATTTCAGATTACTTTGAATGTTCGTATTCTTCGGAGGATGACTCAAAAGGTATGACTTTTGAGGAACAATCTTCAAATTTTCAATGCATAGGTATATTTATGCAAAGGACTAGAAGTCTTAGTGAATATCCTAGGAATAGCAGAATTGGTGATGAGGATGATCTTATCCCAATTAGAAATGAAGATGAAAATCCTAACTCAATAATTAGTTCGTCATCTAATTACAAGGATCACTCGGGTAACCTGGATAATTGGGTAATTCCGAGGTTAACACCTAGAGAAGTTTTCAAGAAACGCTCTAAGTGGTTATTTAAAGTTGAAGGCTTGGAAGATGTACATGAAAAACCTGTTCGTGTAGCTTTATCTCAATCTCAAGAAGGTGAATTGGTACTCTCGAATGATGAGTGGCTACGGAAGGTTAACAATCTTGCCAAACGGGCAAATGGAAAGTATAATTATGTACAACTTGGTGTTGTACAAATACGTGTACAAGGATTATTCCGTGGAGGAATGAATGTACTTGTTTAGGTTGCTTTACTGGACAGACGATGGCTTACGTTTAGAAAAGCTTTAGTTGGTAGTTTTCACACTAACCTGGCTTTAGAAGATGCATACGGGACTGTTACACCAGGATATATAGTTAGTCTCCAAGATCCAAATCTTAAACGGATTATGGTTCTTTGAATTCATACTTCAGGGCTAGAAGACTTAATGCCTTCTAGTGACAGAATAGCAATCTAGTATAGGTTAATTTATCGATTGATAAATTATGTTAATCCTATACGAATGAATTCTAGTGCAGATACTGAGGTTCATGGCCTGGGATAGGATTCTATAATTCCAATTTGACCTACGGTAGTCAATGCTAAGGCTCTTACGTGGCCGAAACGATGGGTTTTAGAATATTCGACGTAGCCCAACGTGGTGGAATTAAACCCAAATCGGGGAATTCAAATCCAGGAATCATAATGAGGTTGAGGTTACTCTTCCTACGCCTAGAAACTCGGTGTCTTTGGAGCAAAATAAGGAAATTCAACCCATCATATCAAGGAAAAATATACTGGAAACAGATGACACTACTAGTGATGTTGGGAGCAGCAGTAGCAGGAAAATAGTTGGATATAAATATGTACAAATTCCAGTATATGAAGACGAAACTCCGAGCACGAAAATGATGATGAGTTATGAAATGCATTGTCATGCGCTAGTTCAAGGAACTATTAACATTTGCATTCGTGCTAAACTGTGTTTTCCAGAATATGAGGAATATACTCTAGATGTTCTTATAGATACAAGAGCAACCAAATGTATTGCAAGAAAACAATGTTTTCCAGAAGAGCTTTGGAAATCATTGGAAAGACCAATCCTAAATACGGTTGCAGATGGAGGTCAAAGTATGATCACGGACGTGGTTGAAAACGTGGTTATACTGTTAAACGAGAAAAAATTTACTCTAAGGGAAATCTTAATAGTAAATTACTTAGAAGTAGATTTTATTCTCGGAAATAGCTTTCTATGAGGACAAGCAGAAGTTAGACTATTTACTCAGGATAATGACTACATTATCCTTGGAGGTCATAAAATCCGTATTCTTGCTAAGCCTGAAGTTTCAAAAATTAGAAATGGTTTTAGACCGGTGAAACTAAGGCAAGAAGTAGATCACATTGTTTTCCAAATTTTGGAAAAGGAAAATGGTAGTTGAAAACTTCTGAAGTAGAAGGAGTGGATAATGCTTGTAATGTTTTCTTTTAGAGATTATATCCTAGTTATCATACAAACCAGATCGCACGGGGTATATTGTAGGAGGTTAGTCCCTCTGGTGCATGCCCTAAGAGCACGGATAAATCAACACATAAGGAGATAATCTTGAAGGTTGAAAACAAGAGTCAAAAGAACTCTTTAAGGATTAAGGAACTTGTAAAATCCTTTAAAGAGGAACATTCTCCATGTTTTGATGATCAACCGTTAAAGCTATGAGAAATGAACGGTATATATGCTTCGCTTAAATTAAGGAAGGATGATGATACGATAACTACTAAATCCTATCCTTATACTCTTGATGCAGAGGAG